AAAAGAAAAAGAAAGGAAAACATGGGTGTCACAGAGGACCACAGAATGACTGAATCTATGTCCTTGAGCAGGTGAGAAGGAGGAGATCTAGTGCACAAGTGGGAAGACAGATAGGGACCGAAGAATGAGCCAACCTGCTCTCAACTAGCAGCTGCCCCATAGCAGCGCTGGCGTGGGATAGAACTCAGCTCTCCTCAGTCCATGAGGCCTCCTAGCTCTAAAACCCCGCACCCAAACGCCCTCACCTGGCTCCCAGCCCCTGCCCTACACCCCATACCCTGGGGTAGCCTGGCAAGCAGCACTTACATACATCACATGCCCACACAGTGACCTCAGGCCTGGCGGAGGGCACTCCCCTCCTACTTCCACAGTGCCGTCTCCCCAAGGGGACAGATGTTTGCTGGAGAGGGAAGCGGAGTCTGTGATCTGTGAGCAGGGGTTGCATCAGGGAATAAAGGTCAGGTAACAGGACTCTTGTGGCGCGGGGCCTTCTGAGAGTGGTAATGGGTTGGGTTTGGTTGCCTCTCATGTTCTGGGGAATGTTGTCTGAACGTGAATTTCTGGTTCTAGGGCCGGCATCTCGCTCCGTGGAGCGCCTCAAGGAGATGATCAAGGCCGGGATGAACATTGCGCGACTCAATTTCTCCCACGGCTCCCACGAGGTGCTGGACGGGCCGCCGGGCGGTGGGTGGGGCAGGAGGATGCCTCGAGGTCCTGGCCACCTTCCCCTGAAATCACCTCGCTCCGCTCCCTCCCCCAGTACCACGCTGAGTCCATCGCCAACGTCCGGGAGGCGGTGGAGAGCTTTGCAGCTTCCCCGCTCAGCTACCGGCCCGTGGCCATCGCCCTGGACACCAAGGGACCGGAGATCCGCACTGGGATCCTGCAGGGGGTGAGCAGTGGGGCTGGGACTCGCCGGGCCGGGGCGGGAAAGGCGGTGCCAGTTGGACTGGGTCCAGGCGTGGGCAGGGGCGGGTCCCGGACTCCGGGGCACAGAACTCACATCTCCTCTGGCTCCGCCCCTAGGGTCCGGAGTCGGAAGTGGAGCTGGTGAAGGGCTCCCAGGTGCTGGTGACTGTGGACCCCGCGTTTCGGACGCGGGGGAACGCGAACACCGTGTGGGTGGACTACTCCAATATTGTCGGGGTCGTGCCGGTGGGGGGCCGCATCTACATTGACGACGGGCTCATCTCCCTAGTGGTCCAGAAAATCGGTGCGAACGCGCCTCCCGCCCTGACCACATCCGTGCGCTAGGCACATTCCCTTCTCCTTGGCTCCCCCATCAGCCCTCAGACCGACCACACTTCCCCTGGCCACGCGTCTTTGCCAGCCTGTCCCAGGAGTCCCCAGCATGCAGACTCCGCGCTCACCCTACGTTTGGGCTGGACTACGGATGGGTCGTTTCTTCCACGGATGTCCATCTGTGCCTCTTCTGGGCAGAGCCCAGAACAAGGGCGGAGAGACGAGGAGGGCGTGGTTCCTGACCTCTTGGGGGTCCAAGCCCAGTGTCCTCTCTGCTGTAACTGTGCCCGGTCCTCACCCGTGACCGCAGCTGCCTCTCTCCATGTCCTCAGGCCCAGAGGGACTGGTGACCCAAGTGGAGAACGGTGGCGTCCTGGGCAGCCGTAAGGGCGTGAACTTGCCGGGGGCCCAGGTGGACTTGCCCGGGCTGTCCGAGCAGGACGTCCGGGACCTGCGCTTCGGGGTGGAGCATGGAGTGGACATCGTGTTTGCCTCCTTTGTGCGGAAAGCCAGCGATGTGGCTGCTGTCAGGGCTGCTCTGGGGCCGGAAGGACAGGGCATCAAGATCATCAGCAAAATTGAGAACCACGAAGGCGTGAAGAGGTGAGGCTCGGGCTCTGCTCCCCTTCGGCCCTGTCGCTATTCCCCATCACCTTTCTTCTCCCGCCTGCCTCTGCCTGGCATCTCCTGGCTTTCTGCCTCGGCCCTGATTCTCCCAACTTCTCAGGTTTGATGAAATCCTGGAGGTGAGCGACGGCATCATGGTGGCACGAGGGGACCTAGGCATCGAGATTCCAGCAGAGAAGGTTTTCCTGGCTCAGAAGATGATGATTGGGCGCTGCAACTTGGCGGGCAAGCCTGTTGTCTGTGCCACACAGGTCTGGAGTGAGCCCTTGAGGTTCGGCACTTTGTGGGTTTTAGGGACAACTGTGGATGAATACCCATACTGTAAGGGTTTGTTTTGTTTTGTTTTGTTTTGTCTCTGTCATCCAGGCTGGAGTGCAGTGGCACAATCTTCCCTCACTGCAACCTCCGCCTCCTGGGTTCAAGCAATTCTCCTGCCTCAGCCTCCCGAGTAGCTGGGATTACAGTTACCAACACCACACCAGGCTACTTTTTGTATTTTAGTAGAGGCAGGGTTTCACCATGTTGTCCAGACTAGTCTCGAACTCCTCACCTCAGGTGATCTATCCACCTCGGCCTCCCAAAGTGCTGGGATTACAGGCGTGAGCCACCGTGCCCGGCCCACACTGTAGGTTTATAGCACATTTTGCTGACAAGTGTTTGATCCTCAAATGATAAAGTTAGATATACTTTGACCCCTATTTTCAGGGGTTGTGACTGTGACCCTGGATTTCGGGACCCTCTGAGAGTAGGTGTCAGAGAGTAGCTTGGGCAGGGTCTCAAGTCACGGTGTGACTCCTACGTCTTTGATGTCCATGCTGTCCCTCAGATGCTGGAGAGCATGATTACCAAGCCCCGGCCAACGAGGGCAGAGACAAGCGATGTGGCCAATGCTGTGCTAGATGGGGCCGACTGCATCATGCTGTCAGGGGAGACTGCCAAAGGCAACTTCCCTGTGGAAGCCGTGAAGATGCAGCATGCGGTAAGAGCTCAGAATGAAAAGCAAATGGGCCAGGGAACCAAATCCCTTCCATACCCCAGTGCCCCTTCCCAGCCTGACATTCTGGCACCTGCAGATTGCCCGGGAGGCAGAGGCTGCAGTGTACCACCGGCAGCTGTTTGAGGAGCTACGTCGGGCAGCACCACTGAGCCGTGATCCCACTGAGGTCATCGCCATTGGCGCCGTGGAGGCTGCCTTCAAGTGCTGTGCTGCTGCCATCATCGTACTGACCACAACTGGCCGGTGAGGGGGATGCCCAGATGGAGATTTGGGTCAAGGGTAGGCTGGGATGGGCCCCAGGCCTGGGTTTAGTCTGGTCACCAGGAGTGAAGCGTGTCCACCTGAGACAAGAGGAGAGGCAGCAATGACAGCTGGAGGCCAGGAGACACAGAATGCCAGTGAGCTTCTAGGGCTGGAAGGGGATAGCAGCATCACTGGGCACATTGGCTTCAAGGCCATTTGGGCTCCTGGGTCTCAGAGGCAAGTCCGTTCGGCCCACAGAGCCTACAAATGCTGAGGTATTGCAGAAGGGCCCAGTAGGTCTGAGTTTAAGTCTTTACTCTGAAATGTAGCTCTGTTAGCCTGCTGTCTTTCCTCATGAACAGGACAAGGTAATGATTTGTTCTTCATGGGATTGCGAGGATTAACAGGAGATATTAAGTACTACATAGTACCTAATATCTATACAGTAAATTAAGCACATAATGCACATTCTCAAAAGGGTTTTATACTTTGTTGTTGTTGTTGTTTTTTCTTTTGAGAACGGCGTCTCACTCTGTTGCTCAGGCTGGAATACAATGGTGCAATCTCGGCTCACCACAACCTCCACCTCCCAGGTTCAAGTGACTCTCCTGCCTCAGCCTCCCAAGTAGCTGGAATTACAGGCACCTGCCACCAC